GTTGCTAGATCAAAAACGGTGGCCTGAAGTTATCAAGAATTATTTACATTATTCATTAAATTTCCCATTTATTGTATTTTATTAATGTCTACCCAAACCCTAAACCCAACCATACTGTAAAAATATTTATTATTGTTTTACAGTGTTACAAAAATGATGCTAAATTGATGGCGTAACTGTAGCTGTATCCTATTTAGGCTACACAAAACAGAAACATGATTAAAATACATAAAACCATGATTTCGAAGTCGGGATTCGAACCCAAAACATCATGCTAAGCATAGAATCAATAAGCAAACCCACAGTGCTCTAAGCCATTTGAGACAGAGATAATTTGGAGACCTTGGCAGTCAAATTAGGATTCACCAGGTCTCGAAACGTTTCTAAGCTGATCGATGCTTTGAATCGCTTTAGTCACGTGACTAGGTGTTTCGAAACACTTTAGTCACGTGACTTGGGTGCTTCGGATCATGCTTCGGTGCAGTGATTCGAAACACTTGCGCTTCGGGATCTCGACACTGTGTCAAAACATCAGTTTCACGTCAGCCATCCCTAGTTAAGAGCAGGCCAACGACGTTTCTGCTAAATCATAGATATGTATGTCTCTTTTTGTTGTCATCTAACGTTATATTATTTGATATGTTGGCTTTGATGTGCGCGTGTATCCTAATACGGAACTATTTGTTATAATTTAGCCGTGAGTTACTTGTTTCGTGCACTTGGTTTTGGCTATTTACATCAATAAAAGTTTAGAGTGAATGTATTTGAAACCAATAGCGATTTCAATCGAGTCATTTGCTTTAATAACTCACGATTAATACAATGAGTATCATATAACATACCAGATCAGGTATCCAAGTCAAATATAACATTATGTCCTGTTTATCTAGATTGCTGTCAGCATTGCGCACATCATAACCTTTTTTCCCTTCGAACCAGAGCCAGTGGAACAAACGGTGACGTGTTTAACTGTGTAATTTGTGTGAAAATCGTGTGATTTTCATGTAATTCATTGCTTGATTTGTTAGCTCGACTAAATGTCTATCATATTCAGACCAACTTGCTTTAACAGTCAGCTAGCTTTTATTTACATAAAAAATATAAAGGGCTAAATATATATTTTTCTTTCTTTTTGCTCAAAAGGACTGAAATATTGACAATGACATAATTCAATGCAAGATTTCCTTGAGGAGGTGAGACTTGTTATCATCAGTGAAATTTGACGGTCATTCACCAGCAGATGCAAGAAACCTTTTCTCTTTGCCCAAAAGAAGTTGATTTAGCCAGGAAGAAATTAGAGAGAGATAACCTGGACTTTAAGGAAGAGGTAAGTCACTATATTGCAATTGCTTTGGTTTCATTCAAGGTAGTAATGATAATGCTAAAAATAACAAACAACATTATTATTATAGGTAATTCAAAATACATCTGTATTCAGCATTTGAACATTTAAATATTTACATTTACATATATATATATATATATATATATATATATATATATATATAATATGTGTAAAAATTAATATGTATGTTTTTTTTGTATATTGTAGATCTGCACAGAGTTTTCTCAGATCTGTAATGTAGATCTCCTGAGACAGTTAATCGAGTGACTTGATAAATATACAGCACCTCTCCTGAAACTCTACAGAAAAGAAGGGATTCAATGGGTCCAGAGATGGATACAACTTTAAACAAGATGGATGAGCAGGTACTCATTAAGATTTTTTTTTCTTATACACCCGTCTGATGTTTTTAACATGTGCAACATATTTTGTCCTGTCAAGAATTTCATGCTCAGGTAATACAGTCTAATAAAACGTAATTGCAACAATTTAATTGTCCAGCCCTTTTGCATTAATTTTAATTGTGTCAAGTTGTGTTTTGATTGTGAGATGGAAGTAAGATAAATAACAGATGTTTCACTTGTTTTGAGTGACCATTTCAAATGAATACATTCAAAGAGGAAAATAGAAAATAATAGCTGTAGTTTTTAACTCAAAGTAATTGTCACATGAAACTAAACATTTTTCTAAATTTGCCAACACAACCATTATCAAATTCCATTGTATGGAAACCACAAAATTCTTTTTTAAAAATAAAGCCATGTGTTTTTTCAACAGCATGAATAAAATACTATGCTCATTTAAATGTACTAAGTACATTTTTACTTACAAAACAATAAGATTGTAAAACACCCTTTGTAAATGACTTTCCTTTAGGTCACTGATATTGTCACCGATCGAGAAAGAGCAGCTCTTGAGGGATTGCCAATTTTTCTTCGTAAAAATTCTGCTTGCTTTCTCAAGATATGTCTGGTAAGTTACCCATTTTCATACCCTATTCTACATTTATTAGTCTGCTTGGTAACACTTTTAATAGCTGCACGCTATAAATAATTTATTTAGTATTAGCGAATAGTTAATTTATTTTCTGTTAAGCATAACTCTACATGAAGTGCTCAATGATTGTATTTTTTTTAACTTTAATGATTCATTTGTATTACTAATTTAAGTATTGCATTATTTACAAACCAGTTATTTAAGAATAGTTGGTGTTTTTAAGATCATTCAGAATGCTTAAGTACACGATTAATAAACTATTCAAATTAACATTTAAATATCCTAATATTAAGGTATGTAATAATAGTTACTTTGTATGTTAGTATATGCTTTATGAGCTTAACTTCATCCAGTTGTGACCTAATCTAAAGTGAGGACTATTTATGCTTTATAAATCCCTTATGAATGACAATTAAAGGCTCAGTTATATTCTAAACAGGACAATAAACAACTTTCACAATTGAAACTGTATCAAATAAAAGTAAATCTTTGCAATTTTATGTAAAATAAAAGTTTAAAAAATTGCTAAATATTAAAAAGTTGTCAATATATTGTTCAATTATTATATATTATAGACTATTCAAAGTGTTACTGTTTGTATGTACGAAAGTATTACATGTTTTTATTTTCTTTGCATAATAGTAATAACATTAATAAGTAGTAATTAATATTACACATCAATTAATTTTCCCATTACTTAATCTCCTATAAGGACACGGACCCTGAAGACCACAGCACCAGAGATTAAAGGATTGGAATCTTCACTGTGGTGGAAGATGATAATGGCACTTCTGCATCCCTGCAATATGTGATGAACCTCGCTAAAATCTTGGAGGAGGCCATAGTACTTCAGGATATCACACATCTGCCTGCAGCCTTCGCTTACTTGTTCAGCCTCTTGTATAGACTGAATATGGAACACCCAAAAGAACTCAAATATACTTTTTAAGTGATTCAGCATGTTTTATGGAGGTTGGTGGCACATGATCTGCGAGAGTTCAGTTCATTCATTCATTCATTTTCTTTTCGGCTTAGTCCCTTTATTAATCTGGGGTCGCCACAGCGCAATGAACTTGTCTTACGCAGCGGATGCCCTTCCGGCTGCAACCCATCTCTGGAAAACATCCATACACACTCATTCACACATACACTACGGACAATTTTAGCCTACCCAATTCACCTGTGCCACACGTCTTTGGACTGTGGGGGAAACCGGAGAACCCAAAGGAAACCCACGTGAACGCAGGGAGAACATTCAAACTCCACACAGTAACGGCAACTGACCCGTGACCACTTCCTAATGTGCCACTGTTTCAATGTTTTGAGGTCTGTTTTTGGACTTTATTTACTTTGTTGACAAAAGTGCAGTACACTTTAAAGACTGTATGAATGGAGTGGCTTTTAGGGTTTACTCTGATTAGATGATTGTATATTCACCTGGTTTGAGTGTTTAGACACACTAATAGCTTGGTTTTAGTAAGGTTGCCAGTTATTTTATGTTGAGGCAGTGTACAATCTTTTCAAATCTGGAAACATTCAGTACTAGTTGTGTACAAACTAGCCCAATGCTGAACACGGCTAATGTCAAATGCTGATTTTGTATGCAAATGTTTTGGATTGTGATTTGAACACAGTTAAAAATAAAAAAAAAGTGAATTGACTATTCTTGTGTATTTAATTTGAATCCTAAAAATTAATAGTAAATGCATAATGAATCAGTTTGTTTTATTTTGTTCAGTAAACTAAAAAAATCTTGTTGGGTAAACATAATCATTTTTGTTCAGTAAACAAAAGATCTTGTTGAATAAACGTGAAAATTTTTGTTCAGCAAACAAAAGATCTTGTTGAGTAAACATGATAATATTTGTTCAGCAAACAAAAATATCTTGTTGGGTGAACATGATATTTTTTGTTCAGCAAACAAAAATGTCTTGTTGAATGAACATGATATTTTTTGTTCAGCAAACAAAAATATCCTGTTGGTTGAACATGATATTTTTTGTTCAGCAAACAAAAATATCTTGTTGGGTGAACATGATACTTTTTGTTCAGAGAACTAAAGAATTCAACAAAATATTTTGAGTTCACTGGTCTTCAAACCCTGTTTGTTGAGTTAACTCAAAAAGCTATGTGTGATAGGTTGCCTAATTATTTTAAGTTTACTCAACTTTTTTTTTTTACAGTGCATAAAAATTAAAAAGTACTCTTGGGAACAAAATGCAATGACAAAAAAAAATGGGAACAAGAATATATCCTTGGGGAACTCCACAAGATAGACATGCTTTGGAGTATAAATATCCATTTACATAAACTTAAAAGGTTATTTTATTCAAATAAGATTTGAACCAGTTAAAAGCAAACCCCATACTGGGTTTCCTCCAGTCTAAAGACATGCGGTACAGGTGAATTGGGGAGGCTAAATTGTCCGTAGTGTATGAGTGTGTGTGGATGTTTCCCAGAGATGGGTTGCAGCTGGAAGTTGAATAAGTTGGCGGTTCATTCCGCTATAGCAACCCCAGATTAATAAAGGGATTAAGCCGAAAAAAAAAATAATGACACAGCAAAAACACAGACAACTCAGACACAATAACTCAGACACAATGAAACACAGACCCACAAACACAAATACCATGGCAAGATGAATGATCCACACACAAATGCTGTTACAACATTGGCATGTTTAATCTATTTGCAGCAAACGGGTAAAATATACAAAGTGTAGCACTTACTGCTATACTACATAATATGCTAAAAAAACAGTATGCGAGCCAAGTAGAATTCATAGTATTCGAAAAAACAGTATGCTAGAAGTACCCAGGTGACCTACTACCGGCAAAATTCTGAAGTGCACAACCAATGCATGCTACGCTATCCCTGATGCACCACGAGAGAATTCATGAATGGCAGTGAAGCAACGATGGTTGTCGATTAATCATGATTTACATTCATACCGTACAGATCATACTTTTCTAACATCTCAGTAGTACAATTAAATTCAAATGCAGTACCTACTGAGTAGTAGGCGGTTTCGGTCACAGCCTGGTAACAGATCTTTTAATACCAGTTTCCCTGCAAATCCTGCCTCGTGAACATGACTATATGCATGATTATTTGAGACCTGTTAATATGCTGCTGTCAGTTAATACCGGTAGACGTGGAAAAATCACACTTTAATGCTAGGAAATTTTCAATACAGAGACTTGTGTTTGTATCACTCCAATATGACAGTGGACACACTATACCTACACACAATTTTTTCCAAATAGCTTTTAAAAGTGGATTTTGCATGACAGAGGGCATTTAAGTCAGGAAATAAGAATGTCATGAACAACCGTATGAAAGGCTGCATTTAAGTCCAACAGCAGGAGTAAATGCTTATTCTCTTCTCTCCACCTGCAGCTGGTGTGTGGTGAAGCATTGGTGCTTCTTCTGTCTTGTGGCTGCCGTCACATCATTCAGGTGAAGCTGTGACATGGTAGTAAAGTTCTGTGGGAGAATTGTGTGTGTGTATATATATATATATATATATAAAGTTCAATCCAAACATGAAAATATTTGTAGAAGTAGAGCCAAAAAGACTCATCTCTGCTTCTTTTTCTGTAGTTTCATCTTTAAAGTGATCAAACTCAAAAATGAATCATTTAATATCATGTTTCTAACTCACATGCTGCATCATTTGATGGTAAAGTTAGAGTAAATACATTTACACTTATCACACATTTATTGTTCCTCTTGACACAAAAATGAGACTTGTTTGTGGATCCTCACCTGAGACGTAACTTCATCAGGGTTCTGCTACTGATCCTCTATTCTAAAGGTGAAACCAAAAGAGAAAACCATTAAGTGAACACATTAGTCATACTGCATTTCAATTACTGTCTTTTCATTAAATTCATATTAAGTTCCTGTAATCAGGACAATTATTACCATCAAATTCTCTTGCACAAATTCTCTTGTTTTAAATTTCATAAAAATGTAAAATATTAATGGTGTTCAAGTGTTTGTCTGTGGCTGAAGAAGAGCCTGTGACTGCTGAGAAACACAAGCTGATGTCTGAACACTTTCTGTGAACACTAAAGTTATTATAATGTAAAAATGATTTGCTGAAATATAGTGCTTGGGGTTTGAAGAGACTCCAGAAGAGTGAGAGTCAGTGAACCAGTGTTTTCTACAGTCTGTCCAATACAATTTCACTCTGTAATGATTCACTGCTAAAGGCATTAATAAAGCAGCTGGATAAAGCTCTGACTTGCAGCTCTTCTGCTCTTTCCTCCTTTCTCTTAACTACTGCAGCTTGTTCAATTCAATTCCACTTTATTTGTATAGCGCTTTTACAATGTAGATTGTGTCAAAGCAGCTTCACCTCAATCGTCATAGTAACTGGATCATGGTAATTCATTTTTTAGTTTTTAAGTTCAATTCAGTTTAGCTCGGTTCAATGTGGTTTAAAGTCATTACTAAGAGTCCAGACACTGAGGAGCAAATTCATCGATGCATATCTCTACCGATCCTGAACTATGCAAGCCAATGGCGACAGCGAAGGGGAAAAAAAACTTCACCGATAGGAGAGTAAAGAAAGAAAACCTTGAGAGAAACCTGACTCACTTGTGTTCATACAAATTCACTTGTGCTCATACAGTACAAACTTGTGCTAATACAAACCTCTGGTTAAATCAATTTTGGTGATAACTTGATCATTCCCATTCAGACAATTTTAAAGACTTGTTCACATAAAGGCAATAAAGATCTTTAATATCAGTGTTGTTTACTGACCTCAGTTCACAGCTTGAGTTTCGTATCACATCAATGAGCTGCTGCTTTGAGGCTTCAATGGAGTTGTAGCTCAGGTTAACCTCTTTTAGAAACTGCAGAGCTTTTGTGTTCTTCAAACACTGAGTTAAAGAAGAAACATCTGAGATGCCACAGCACAATAGTCTAAAAACAGACAAACCGAGAAAGAAAGAAGTACATTTTCATTTCACCATTGGTTTATTGCATGATCAGAATTATCATAAATTCTAGTCAGAAACTGATGTCAATGTTTTCTCAAACTAAAATTATATATATGGTTAGATGGATGGATAATTAAATTCAGAATTATTAGCACAGAGAAGTTAATAATTTTGTAAAAATAGAACCTCATATTCATTGTGAGCTACAGAATAAAGAGAGCATAATAAACGTTTTGGTTTAAAATCTTTAAGTATGAGAAAGTTTCTCACCTCAGTGTCTTCAGTTTACAGTGTGAATCCTTCAGTACGTCACATAAGAGATTCACTCCAGTGTTTCTTATTTGATTCTCACTGAGGTTCAGTTCTCTCAGGTGTGATGGGTTTGATTTCAGAGCTGAAGTCAGGATCTTACACTGTTTCTCTGTAATGCTGCATTTATACAGACTGAAGACAGAAAGAGTAAAGACAATGACTGAGATTTATGTTAAGTTAATGTGTAAGAAACTGATAACTGTTAATCATAACAGAGAAGTAAAATCATGGAAAATAATATGAATGAACACACATTAAATTTAAGCATTTACAGTAGCAGATGCTTTTATCCAAACTGACTCGACCCATGAACACACACAAAGAAAGATGAAATAAAATAAATTCTTATTGGGTCCCACTTTATATTAGTTGCTTATACCTGTGAAACTACATGGTAACTAGATGTGTATTTAGTATGTAACTACAGTGTATGTACATACTGATACATAGTATTTACTTGTGTAATACTGGTGTATCTACACAAATGTAACAACCCGCTGAATAGTATGTGTAGGTTCAAATGTGTAACAGGACATTAACAACACTAAGAAAGTACACATCTGGAACAAGAATTATGTACGTGCATTGCGTAACGACATGTACTTACAGGTGTTTTCCCACTTCCACACCTATTTGCATACCATGTACTTGTGAGCAATGCATGGCAGAACTAATGCTGCATTAGAAGGTTTCATCTTGTGATACCAGTGTACATACATGGTAACTCCACAGGAACTGTCCACTCAATAAAAGTGTGACAAGTTTGCATGCCCTTTTATAGCAACCATGTTTATAACTGATGTTACTTGATTCCTACTTGATAATCTTTAATTTCACAGTATCTACTGCACGGTATAATGATACTAACTGTAGTTTCTCCAGCCTGAATTGTGGCTTCATCAGTAAATCACTGAGGTTTTTCACTCCAGAGTCTGCTAGTTCATTACAGCTGAGGTTCAGTTCTCTCAGGTGTGATGGGTTTGATTTCAGAGCTGAAGTCAGGATCACACACTGTTCCTCTGTAATACTGCAGTTACACAGACTGAAGACAGAAACAGAAAGACAACGACTGAAATCCATGTTAAGTTCATTTGTGAAATAAATATATAACTGTTTAAAATACAGTCAGCAAAAAACAGACCTGTAAAATCATGGAAAATTATATGAATGAACAAAGCAAGAGAGCACAAGGACAAAAGATTTAATGCAAGTTTGTAGTCGCCCTATTTTTTTAAAGTGTTTCTTAAACGCGAAACACAAACTTGCCAGCTAGTATCTACCCACCAAAACAAAAGCTTAACAATTAAAGATTGCAAGTAATTAAATCATATAGAAAAAAATAAATAGGAATAAAAAGAAAATAAAAATAATTGTTATATTTTAAAATGCACTATAAAATAAATGATTTTAATAAATTTAACAGTATTACCACCTATTTTATATAACTTTTAGTAAAGTGAAGTGCACTAAAATTATTACAGTCCGGTATAAATGTAGTTCTATCAGAAATTTTTTTTTATTATTTTGTTTTAGTCTGGTCTTTTATTCTGATTTTATAGAGAAAGCTTGCCAGATTTCAGCATTTGGAATGATTTTATAGCAAGAAATGAAGATAATTGAGAATAAAATGTGTCGTCTGACAATAAATAACCTTTAAATCACCTACTATCTGCTGTACAGTATAATGATACTAACTGTAGTTTCTCCAGCTTGAATTGTGGCTTCATCAGTAAATAACTGAGGTTTTTCACTCCAGAGTCTCCTAGTTTATTATAGCTCAGGTTCAGTTCTCTCAGGTGTGATGGGTTTGATTTCAGAGCTGAAGTCACAGCAGAACAAGCTTCATCTGTCATTTCACAACTGCTTAACCTACGTCAACAGAAAGTTGGGAGAGAGCAGAAAACAAGATAGCTGAAAAGGCTGTTATTATAAATTTGTTAATCTAAAGGATACAGTTAAAGTCAGAATTATTAGCCCCCCTGAATTATTAGGCCCTTGTTTAGTTTTTTCCCCAATTTCTGTTTAATGGAGAGCAGATGTTTTTCAACTCATTTTTAATCATAAAAGTTTTAATAGCTCATTTCTAATAACTGATTTATTTTATTTTTGCCATAATGACAGTAAATAATATTTGACTAGATATTTTTCAAGAGACTTCTATACAATTTACAGTGACATTTAAAGGCTTAACTAGGTTAAATAACTATGATTTGTTCTGTAGAATATCGAAAACATATAGCTTAAAGGGGCTATATATATATATATATATATATATATAAATCAAAGGGGGGCTAATAATTATGACTTCAACTGTATCAAACAAAACAGTGTCAAAATTCACATTTAGAAGCTTTAGGTTGTGTCACTTCATGCAAAACGAATAAACAAATTGTTTGACCTCACCTCACGCTTCACTCACTATCCTTGTGCTCAGTCCCTGCTTTTCAGCCTCAACACACTCACACATGGTCTCCCATTCACACATTATGAACAGTTTGTTTATCCAATTCACCTATACCACGTGTGTAAGAAACCCACACGAACACAGAGGGAAAATGCATACTTGAACCAGGAAACATGTTGCGGCGACAGTGCTGACCACTGAGTCACCATGCAGTCCCATCATACTTCATTTCTCATCAAGTCTTCTGACTAATCAATTGCTCTTTGACAGTGTTTAACACGTCCTGCCCCCTTCAAGACACTATTGCTGATGCTAAAGTTTCTAATTTATTCACGTTAAAAAGCATTTAAATCAAGGGTTTGCCTAAACACTTGCAAATATATGGAAAGAGTAAATGGTATGCCAGCTGCGTTGATCAGAACTCCTTATTAGGAATTTTGAAGTGTGCACAGCGCCTCTCTACAGCAAGCCTCGAGGAGAAAAATACATTGGCCACACCCATACACAGACAGTACACAGGCAACAAGTAGATTCAATATTAAATTTGTTCATTCCATCTTTGAATTTTAAAATGAACATCAAATAACCCATTTTTTTAACACCCATTTCTAAAAGCAAATTCCAATCACCAAAAGATACACGGACAATAATATAGACTTAATGCAATTGGCTGTTTTCGAAAAGAGGAAAGAAGTTAGGGTGGCACAGAGTGAAGACAGGAGCGTAGCCTTACTTTATTTCCCACCCTGTCTTCATGCTTCAATTGAGACCACATCAAACACTGAATAAAACCAATTACATTCCAAAGCACTTCACAGCACCTTTAAGTGTTTTTAATGATTGTGATTTTTGTATTGTGAATGTTTCTCACCTCAGTGTCTGCAGTCTACAGTGTGAATCCTTCAGTACATCACATAAGAGATTCAGTCCTGTGTTTCTTATTTGATTCTCACTGAGGTCCAGTTCTCTCAGGTATGATGGGTTTGATTTCAGAGCTGAAGTCAGGATCTCACACTGTTCCTTTGTAATACTGCATTTACAAAGACTGAAAAAAGAACACTAATTTTCATAGAGCATGATCTGTCATACAGTCTCTTTTTCCATTATCTGCTTTTAATCATGTCATACAATATTGCTCTATGCTAGAAACGATTCTCTTATTATTTTTATTGTTATGTTTCTTTAAAACATTTTTATTTTTGCTTTTGTCTCCAGCAGATACTAATATCAGGATATTTTTAAGAAACCTATGTAAAACCTATGCAAAAAAAAGAACAATCCAGTTGTTATAGATTTTTTACTAAACTTTAATTTCACCGTATCTGCTGTACAGTATTATAATACTAACTTTAGTTTCTCCAGCTTGCATTGATGGTTCTTCAGTAAATCACTGAGGTTTTTCACTCCAGATTCAAGTTTATTCTGACTGAGGTCCAGTTCTCTCAGGTGTGATGGGTTTGATTTCAGAGCTGAAGTCAGGATCTCACACTGCTGCTCTGTAATACTGCAACAACGCAGACTGAAGACAGAAAGAGACTTTATGAACAATGAAAGATGCTACGATAAAAACCTGTTAATTGGTTAGCAGAATGTTTTTTACTGTATACAGTATTTGTAATAAATTCAAATAATCTTATACTAAAATACTAAAATACTCACAGATTTACAGATAGAAAAACAAGTCATAGTAAAAAATGACAGTTAATAACTATAAACCATCGCAGAATTCTCTAAACAACAGTTAATTGGTCAGTTATGATGGTCAGATCAAATGTTATGCTTAGTCATTATGATTTCTTAGTTTTCTTTCACTGTTTTTACATTAGTAATGAAATTATTATTTATGAGATAGTGTTGTATTTTTTCTCTGTTCTTAAATCAAGGTTTACTGCATTACTTTAGTGCCGTGTATGTTAGTTTGAAGGTGATCATTGTTTGTGTGAATGACTTTGTGCACCTTCTATATTTCAGTATTTACTTCTTGAGTGAATGATGAGCTTTAATTCTCCAGTGAATTTCTCATTAACACCTGTTTGTGGTGGTTGTCAGGGTTTAACACTGAAATAGTTTAAAATAAGTATGTATTTGTTTGTGAATGTGAGAGTGTATGGGTGTTTGCCAGTGCTGGGTTATGGCTGGAGGTCATCCGCTGTGTAAAACCCATGCCGACATATAGCTGGAAGTTTATTTTTTATATTTTTTATATATTTTTATAAGTTATATTTTTTTCTTTTAGAATATACAAATATATTCATGAATCAGTAAATACAGTGCTCAGCATAAACGAGTACACCCCATGTCGATAATTAATATTTTTATCCATTTCCCAGTGAATATGGGTAATATATATTGGTGCATTTGAACAAAACTCTATTAAACAGATACATTTATTAAAATAATATTTTAGCCACAGAACATCTTTAGAAATGGAAAGATAATACAATTAAATTCATGCGAAATATTGCAAAAAAATAAAAAATAATAAAAAATCAACTACATTTGAGAAAATTAGGGTATTTCTAAGGCCCACAATGTTTTTGGGCCCCCAGAGATACTATCAGGGGCCCAAACAAAACACACCCACCCCACCCCCTCTTTACTTTTGTCCGCAAAAAGTTTTTAAATCACTCAGCTAGGAAAGACAATCTAAGACTTTTAATGATTTATTTAGAGGACTTATATCTGGTGGAAAACCACTGTTCTTTATCTAAAGTCACTAAAAGAATGACTGACCCTTGAACAAAATGACCAATGTGGTAAACTGCATAAAAGCTAATGCCAACTTTTATTTTGTTTTTAATTGTCAATTCAGTCTATCAATTTACTGTGACTTTATGATGTTGAGAAACAAGTGTTGACTCAAACAAGTGAGGAAATATTATCAACTACAGTAACAGTTTTATCAAAAATAATAAATATTTTTAATGTGCAATACTCACATGAGTGTGTTAAATTTACAGTGTTTGTCCTGCAGTAGAGCAGAGAGTTGATTCACTCGTGTGTCTCCTAGTTTATGATTACTCAGATTCAGTTCTGTCAGGAGTAACGGGTTTTTACCCACAATTTCAGCTACATGCTGACAGATTTCATCAGCAGCAGAACTCAAAAACCTGGAGACAGAGACGATTGAGCAGGATTTAGATCTTTATATCATATTGCAGAATAACACTCATCAACGTCTATTCATCAGTATCATCAGTACATCAAAAACAACAGCAACTGATCAAACAAATCATTCAGACGTCTGGAGCTAAGCTTTCACAAGCTTTTAGTGTGACTTAATAATAATTATACATTGTGTCGCTGTTTTGAACACAAAATAGCATTTTATATTTCCTCATGTCTCACCTCAGTGTCTTCAGTGTACAGTGTGGATCCTGCAGTAAATTAGTGAGCTCCTTCACTCCTGATTGTCCAGGATCATTTCCTCCGAGATTCAGCTCTATCAGGTGTGAAGGGTTTGATCTCAGAGCTGAAGTCAGAGCTTTACAACCTTCTTCACTGATACTGCAGTCTGAAAGACTAGAACGGGAATGAAAATGTAACTGATGAATGGATATGAAGGTAAACCTTTCATATAATATCTCAGACATCAGCTCACCTGAGTTTCTCCAGTTTACTGTCCTTCAGTCCATCAGAGAGCCGCTTCACTCCTGAATCCTGCAGATTATTATTGCTCAGGTCAAGATCCTTCAGACTGCTAGATTCTGATCTGAGAACTGAAGCCAGAGCTGAACAGCTTTCTTCTCTTAGAGCACAGTTACGGAGCCTAAAAAATAAACACCAACACTGAAGATTCACACCTGAACCTTATTATATTGCCAAAGACACAGCAACCAAATATAACTCTCTTGGGCCCATGCAAGTGTATACACGTCTGAGAGCATCTTTGTGAAATGACCATAAAAGGAGAAAAACACAGATCTGAAAGCTGTAAATGGTCTTTTTATTGGCATATAGACCTCTGGGAATTTCACTGTGTCTCTGTGTCACTGTGTGTTCTCTCACCTGTGACATTTTTGTGGAGAATGTGGGCATTGTGAGAGATCATATATAATACAAGTTACCATCAGACCTGTGTTTCCCTGTAGGGTGCTACTCTCTCTCTCTCTTTCTATTTCTCTGGCTCTTGAGACTGCAAGAAGCGTAGATGGAGGAGATGATAAAGCTTCTCAAAGAGGTCGAGTTAAGACAACAGCACCTCCTGGGCCAGTTAGCAGTGCATGAGAGAGCAGCGCAGGTGCTTGGTCCATGTCCGAATGCCCCACCCCTGGAGGCCATTATGCCATTCCATCTCCTGCCCAAACTTGGTGACCGGGATGATGTAGAGGCTAACTTGTGGAGCTTTGAAATGCTGGCAGCCATGGGATAGGAAGTAGTGGGTCTAAATCCTCACCTCGTTTGTAATGAGGGAGACCGAGCAAGCCTATCACTCTCTTCAGCCCGAACGTCATCAGGATTTTGCTGTGAAGATTCTGGGTCATTTGGGCCTAACACCGGCGCACCTGGCTGCTGTTTGATGGACCATTTGCCATTTAAGTCACAGAGAAAGTGGTGATTGACCGCCTGCTGCAGGCGCTGCCCTCCTGACGACAACATCTGGTTATGCTCTGCCATCCCGCCAGCTGGACAGATCTACTGGAGCTGGTGGGGGCAACAGAAGGCCAGGAGGCAAGAGATAGAGTGGCAGGAGCAGCCCCGGTATGGCAACCTAAGAAGAGCACCACAGATCCAGTATACAGACCCGTGGCCCTCTCGCCAAAGTAACATCAGGAGTCCATCGGCACACCAATGTCCGAGACTGTCTGCATGATGACCTCTGTAAAACCCACACAGCAAGGTCTCGAACACACAGGAAATTGTGGACATCGCCACATGGGGGCCACCGATGTGATCATCGCAAATCTATGAGCGACAAGAAGCATAAGTGCTGTAACCCCCCTCCCCTGTGTTACAGATACCCTGCGAAGGCTTGCTGGACAAAGAACAGCAGAAGGACCCGAGTCTCCGGAACTGCTGGCCAAATTAACGCCTGGAGAATGGAAAAATCAGCCAGCCCAGCTCTCGTTTACGGTGATCAAGTATGATCTGTTAAACCGTGTTGCACAGCGGTGAGGGAGGAGAGAATACGGCTGCTGCTTCCCAACTCCCAGACGAGGACATTGATCGAGGAGATCCATTCGGCCCTGCATCGCAGTGTGTCAAACTCCATCCAGTGGGTCTGGGAAAAATGCCATCAGCCAGGACTGGAAGCAGAGGTGTACCAGATCTGTAAGACCTGAGCCTTCTCTTAGTGCACCTCTGCTTGTCACCCTTCCCCCAAACCACCAGTGCCACCACACATCATCTGGCTGTTGTTCAGCCACATTGGTATGCTCTCCCCCCAAGAGGTTCAAAAAGAACATTTATTAATAAGGACGTTTTAGATACAAACGTGTCCTAATTTAAGATACTGACCCAGCCTTAGTATAAGATTGAGATTATCAAGATTAAAATATCCAGGATCTACCAAATCATCTTAGATCATTTAAGCAAGGTATGAAGAACAGACCTTAGGTGTTAATTTGAAATGATCCCATAAGTGGTAAATGTTTCAAACATTGGGTCGCCCAAGTGCTGTTTTCATTCTGCATCATCTTCTATGTCAACATCACCTGTCAAGCAGAGGTTGTGCACCACTAATAAGGGTCAGTGGGGAAATGCAATGATTCAAATGTAGATAAAAGGACTCATATTTTAGGTGGGTGGGGCTGATTTTTTGGATTTGTTTAACTCAATTTATTCGGGGGATCGTTTCAGGCCTACTTAATCATATGTCTACTCTAGTTGAACAGAAACTAGCGAAAATGTTATGTGACTGATTAGGACTGTGTTCAGATAACTTTGAGCCTTTTATCTTGATTATTAATATATTTATATTGCATCATTATATTATTTATATATTTATATTGTAGAAAAAACTAACAAAGAAACTCATGTTCAAGGTCTCCTTATTTACTCTCAGACACACACTGATGGCCCATTAGAGTCTAGTCTTTCTCTCTCAAAAAGTGACAAAAAAAAAAAAGAGGGTTCAATTCTTTAAGACTGGTATCTGATAAGAAAACCATAATACACAAGAGAAATCACATAATTCAACATTATTTTAGGTTTATTTCCAACCCAACAAAGAACAATGACAGTGTTAATCTGTTATATCTCGAAGACATTATACTCACATGAGTGTGTTGATCTGACAGTGTTTATCCTGCAGTAGAGCAGAGAGTTGATTCACTCGTGTGTCTCCTAGTTGATGATCATTTAGATTCAGTTCTTTCAGGAGTAACAGGTTTTTACCCACAATTCCAGACACAAACTGACAGGCTTCATCTGCTGAAGGACTGAAACACCTAAAGAAGAGAAGATCAAGCAGGAGTCAGTTCAAAGTCAGAGTCAGTCATGAAATGAATCTGGGTAAAATCACTTGTCTTAATCTAGTGGGGGAGAATGTTGATTAATTATCATGGATGTATTATTATGTAATTTAATTAATAAAATAAAATGTAAAGTTCACCCAGAAATGAAAATACTGTTATAATTTATTCCCCATTTTATTTTCAATTAAAACCAAAAGATCATTTGAAAATTGTTGGAAACCTGAAACCATTGATTTGCATATTATTTGTTTTTCCTGCTATGTAATTCAATGGTTACAGGTTTTCAGCTTTCTTTAAAATATTTTCTTTAGTTTTTAACAAAAGAAAAAAAGAAATGTTTGGAACCACTTGAGGGAGAGTAAAGAGAGTAACTAGTGAGTAAATGTTAATTTGTAGATGAACAACCCCTTTAAATAAATGAGTCACCAGCATGATTTCCCATAAAACTGCATATCTCACCTCAGTGTCTTCAGTTTACAGTGTGGATCCTGCAGTAACTCAGCGAGCTCCTTCACTCCTGATTGTCCAGGATCATTTCCTCTGAGATCCAGCTCTATCAGGTGTGAAGGGTTTGATCTCAGAGCTGAAGCCAGAGCTTTATAACCTTCTTCACTGATATTGCAGTCTGAAAGACTAGAACAAAAATAAAATATTACATTCAGCTGATTGAACTGTTGTTCAAGTTTTTACCTGTATGATGATTATTCAATGTGAATATGCTTTCTTCCAAGGTGAGAAACCAACAATACATTAGATATTAACTCACCCAAGTTTCTCCAGTGTACAGTTACTGTCCTTCAGTCCATCAGAGAGCAGCTTCACTCCAGAATTCTGTAGATTATTATTGCTCAGGTCAAGATCCTTCAGACTGTTGAAGCCTGAACTGAGAACTGAAGCAAGAGCTGAACAGCTTTCCTCTGTTAGATCACACTTACTGAGCCTGAAAACAAACATCAAAACTGAAGAGTCACATTTTTGAATAAAGTTTTAAATCCCAGAAGGAAGAGATAACACAATCATCTTATTAACTATTTGTTTTTATTTTAGAGGATATTTGAGTAAAAATAGCATTATGGTAGTACTGAAATTATATCTTTTATACTATAACTATTACAAATATATGTCTAACAATTGAGAATTGAGACTATTTAGAATGAATAAAAACATTTAAATTATTTATGACAACAAGGTATTTTACTGATAATGAAATCGAGTAAAAATGAATGCTGTAATGGTATTTAAATGTACTATAATCGTTTGAATTTATTTAAAAAATGACAAGACTTTTGCTTGACATGTTATTTGTCAAACTACATACCTCAGTACTTCCAATTCACACTTTATATCCTTCATTCCAGAGCAGAGCAATCTCAATCCTGAATCCTGTAGATTATTATTGCTCATGTTCAGCACTTTTAGATTGGTATCTGATCTGAGAACTGAAGTAAGAGCTGAACAGCTTTTTTCTGTTAAGTTACAGTCATTTAACCTACAAGACAAATGGCATCACAGAATAAGGCAGAATTAGGTAGATATAAATACAACACATTTGTATTTATATCATCAGACTTACAGAGCTCTTTTGCAGGTTTGGATGACTGCTGATAGTCTGATGAGACACTCGTCTGACTTCATGAATTTCTGAAGCTCAAACTCCTCCATTTCCTCCTCTGATGTCAACAACACAAATACCAGAGCAGACCACTGGGCAGGTGAAAGATCAGCAGATGAGAGACTTCCTTTGCTAAGGTGAGTCTGAATCTCTTTCACCAGAGTTTGGTCGTTCAGTTCATTCAGACAGTAGAACAGATTGATGGACCTCTCTGGAGAAAGATTCGCTTCAAACTTCTGCTTGATGTACTGAACTATTTCCTCTTTGATCTGGTTAATTTCATCTCGCTGTGTCAACAGACCTCGTAAGAGTCTTCGATTGGACTGCAGTGACAGACCGAGAAGGAAGCGAAGGAAAAGGTCCAGGTGTCCATTGTCACTCTCAAGTGCCTTGTTCACTGCAGTCTTCAGCAAATCAATCATGGACTCATTTCTGCTGTTAGAGTCTTGATCAAACACACTTTTCTTGTTGATGTCCAGAATCAGATGTGCATAAATGGCTGCAATAAACTCTTGAATGCTCAAGTGAACAAAGCAGTACATGGTACCAAGAGCAATCCCTGTTTCCTCCTTAAAGATCTGGGTACACATGCCTGAGTAAACTGAGGCCTTATAGACGTCAATACCACAGGCTTCCAGGTCTGTGTCATAGAAAATCAGGTTATTTCTTTGCAGGTTATCAAATGCCAGTTTTCCCAGTGAAAGGATGGCGTCTTTATCCCAGGAAACATCTGGTGTGTATTCTCCATCATACTTTCGTCTGCTCTGCTGGATCTGAAAGCGCAGAAAGTGTGTGTACATTTGTGTCGGAGTCTTGGGAGTGTCTTCAGTGTTTGATTCCTGCAGTGTTTTGGAGGCGTCATCAGCCTGATTGTGTTTCACATCATTATTTCTCTTCTCCTGTAAAATGTTCTGGAGAACAGTGGCTGAAATCCAGCAGAAGACTGGGATGTGGCACATGATGAAGAGACTCTTTGATTGTTTAATGTGATCAATGATTTCTTTGGCCTGATTCTCATCTGTGAGTCTTTTTCTGAAGTACTCCTCCTTTTGCTCATCATTGAATCCTCGTATCTCTGTCAGCCGCTCGATACAGTCAGGAGGAATCTTACTGGCAGCTGCTGGTCTGCTGGTGATCCAGATGAGAGCAGAAGGAAGCAGATTTCCCTTGATGAGGTTTGTCAGGAGAACATCCAGAGAGGCTGGTGACGAAACATCACGACACGTCTCATTACCAGCAAAGTTCAGAGGAAGACGACACTCATCCAATCCATCAAGGATGAACAGGACTTTGAATCGATTCCTTCTTGTAAGGTTCAGTCCTTTTGTCTCTGGGTAAAACTGAGTTATAAGCTCCATCAAACTGAGTTTTTCTTTCTCCTTTAAGTTCATCTCTCTGAATGGAAGAGGAAATATGAAGCTGATCTCTTGATTTTCTTTTCCTTCAGCCCAATCCAGAACAAACTTTTGCACAGAGACTGATTTACCGATGCCAGCGACTCCTTTTGTCAGGACAGTTCTGATCTGCTTGTCTTGTTCAGACGCTTCAAACAAATTTCTGCATTCAACCTGTATCTCTTGAGCTTCATGACGTCTGGAAGCAACTTCAATCTGTCTGACCTCATGTTCAGTATTGACCTGTTCACTGTCACCCTGAGTGATATAGAGATCTGTGTAGATGTTCTTCAGGAGTGTGGAGTCTCCTTGCTGTGCAATTCCTTCAAACACGCACTGATACTTCTTCTGTAGACTACATTTTAACTGATTAATGAAGAACAGCTCACCTAAATAGAGGAAAAATATTTTAATCTTCATTGGAGTCTTAATTATTTTATAAATGGCTTTTGGACACTAACTCTCACCTTCTAGAGTATCTGCAGCTTCATCTTGCTTCATTTCTCTCAGGAAGTAAAGTGTGAGATCAAGAGCTGCTTCTTTTACTCTGCATCTGTTCTCATTTAAATCCTTTACAAAGAATTGTGTATTTTCTTTTTTTAATATTGTCTTACACTTTTCCAACTCTTTCTTCAGGAATTCAAATATTTTATTTTCAAGGTCCTAAAATCCAAGTATAAAAAAATAACTCAGAACAACAATTAAGCCACACTGCAAATCCATATTGATTTAGAACAATATAATCATTAAAAAAGTTAAATAATAACATATGCTGATATATAAAATATTTTTGCAAATCATTGTGTTCTTACAGCTAAATTAGGCGACATAAATTATTATACTGTAAACATAATTATTAAACCAATGCAATCAGTGTGGAAACAAGATTTGATAGATAACTGACGACTGACTGAGTCTGGCCGGATTCCTGCAAAATGGATATGTATCGATATGTATGTATGTATATATATATATATATATATATATATATATATATATATATATATATATATATATACATATATATATATATATATACATAATTAAATGGCAATTATCTACTGCACAGTATAAAAATGGATGCATTATTAAGGTCTTTTCAGATGGAAAGCAGAGGACTTGCTGCCCAGGTGCCTGTTTATATGTAGTGAGGTGTTTTGTACAGTATGGCTTCAGGGCACATCATCACTATAGTACTACTCAACAACGTAAAAAAAATGTTTTCCATGTTTTTCAGTTTGACCCCTTGGAAAAATACAAGTTAATTTAATTCAATTTGTTTTACGTGGGTATGGAAAGTATTCAAACCTCATAAAAATTTTACTCTTTGTTATATTGCGACCATTTGCTAAAATCATTTAAGAAATTCGTTTTCCTTGTTATTGTGCACAAAGCACCCTTTTGCTGTGACACTCATGTATTTAACTCAGACGCTGTCCATTTCTTCTGATCATCCATGAGTAAGGCTGCGTTCACACTGGACATTTCATAAAACGCAAGCTTGTGCGTCAAGTTTCGCAGATCTCTGCGTTGGAAAGTTCAAGCTTGGTGTACTCTGACCTGCGAAATCGCATCACTTGACTGCATCAGACCAAACGAGGATCAAAACATGACCTCCCTGTACAGAAATGTAAAATATGGACCAATCGTTCACTTTTTTTTATTGTCTAATCATCTTGTTTAATCCCGCCCCTTTTCTCAGCGGTGTACGACAGAATTTCGCAAGCTTAAACTCTAGTGTGACCGCAGCTATAGTTCTACAGCTTTATTTTCCAGCTGTGTTTAAATATACTTATTGGACTTGATTAGGAAAGCCTAGAGTATAATCAGCAGGGCTTGCAAAGCAACTGAGATTAAAAGATCTCAAGCGAAAAACCTCTCTGTGATTAGCTGCACCTCAAGAAAGAGTTTCACAAGTTAAAACGTTTAATGTTTCGAATAAAGCTGTAAAACCTTTGTAATAAAGAAAAGACAGTAAAATCACTTTTTATCTATCACAGCTCCAAAGTGTCAGAACACATAAATAAAATACATAAAATAACCATTGAGAAAGTTCTTACTCTAATATTTGTCATAAATGGGACATCGTTTAATTCATGTCTGTCACTGTGCTGTTTATCTGACACAGCAAAAGAAGGACACGCATCAGAGCAATAAAGAGAGATCTGCACATGGGAACGGTGGCCAGGGAGAACCAGCTCATTTGCATTAAAGGCACAGGCAACAAAAGCAGCTACAGTGTTCTCAGACCTTAAAGTTCCCATATTCAGAAATGTATATTAACCCCCTGGGGTCGAAAACTGCATATACTGTAAGCATTTTGATCTGTAGTGTCGACAAACTGCTGAAATGAACTTAAATTACACTTTCAGTTTTGATCGTACAGATAAGATCAATACATCAATCGAATCTGTTATGTGTCTACTTTTTGTTGTGGACTCTCACAACAACAACAAACGTGTGTGCTTTTGCAAAATAAGGAAAACAAACAGTGTAGGCATTCTCTCTTTTCTCTCTCCGTGAACTGCTTTTAGAAGCGCGTCAGTAAAATGAGCTGAAACTCTGGAAAACAAAACACACAGACACGAGACATGTATCTCTAGAAAGCTTGAAGTGTCTACTTTTAAATGCAGTTATGCATGTTGAAAACAAACATTGCTTGATAAAATAATCAGTATGAAACCAACGCTATGTCTAATTTCTAAGTCTGACCTCATTAGTTTTAATGCGACCACGCCCACGAGGCATTGTTATTACAAGCGGTCAGTCGAATGTTAAAACGACTGATATAGTCTGTAAACAATATTCCCTGAAAACTAACTGCAGAATAAACACCTACATGTAAACGTATGACCCTGCCAGTTCTCCTAATCTCTTAGAGTAACATCTCCAAGTTCAGGTGAAACAATTTGTCAGAAAAACCACAGCCTGTGCTCCATCTTTTAATAATACTGTGAGACATGTTTAATTTGTACGAAAAATGAACGAAAGTCTTTATTAAACTCTCTCTTTATCAGTTAATAAACATTTTAACATGACACTTTCAGGCCTGTAGCCAGCTTATTGAAAACGAGGGGTTATTTGTTTTCTGAAAAACAACCTTTTTGCAGTTATTCACCCGAGGTATAAATAATAAATTTTAGTGACATATAAAGAGCTAAATTTTGCTGGGTAAGCTTGTTGGATAGTTATTATAGCTACACCTTTTGATGTACCAAAACTATTTCCTACCATTTTGTCAAATTGCTTTATTTACAAGTTTAAACTGTAAGTTTTATTAAAGTTTTATAAATAATAAAAATACTTTGAACTAGAAATTAGGACTTTAAATTCTTAGAATAAAGAAATGAAGAGTACAGATGCCAAAACCTCTAAATGCCATGTAAAATGAGCATTTTTCTCAGTCTTGTATATTTATGTTCAGTTATTTCACTTTAAAGGCAATAAATATAACGCATTTGTCACTATAAAAGGTAA